GGGGTTCCCCTCGCCCGGCCACGTGACCACAGCTGCGGGGGGGGGGCGGCAACTGGGCGCCCCTGCGCTGAACCGGGCCAAGCCCGCAATGCACAAAAAAAGGTGCGTGTCAATGGCAGTTCCCGGGCTCTGCAGGAGATTTCCCATGCACGAGGCTCCGGGTTCTTTTGGATCCTGGGGCTGGGGTGGGTGCATCTCTCCTGAAAGGATCCGTTTGGTTAATTGCGGGAGGAGAGATAGGGGGAGACCCTTCCCTGCTTGGCGCCCTGCAGAGCAGGGCTCATGGAATCTTAGAGCTGGGAGGGGGGTTCCCCTCGCCCGGCCACGTGACCACAGCTGCGGGGGGGGGGCGGCAACTGGGCGCCCCTGCGCTGAACCGGGCCAAGCCCGCAATGCACAAAAAAAGGTGCGTGTCAATGGCAGTTCCCAGGCTCTGCTGGAGATTTCCCATGCACGAGGCTCCGGGTTCTTTTGGATCCTGGGGTGGGCGGGGGTGCATCTCTCCTGAAAGGATCCGTTTGGTTAATTGCGGGGGAGGGATAGGGGGAGACCTTTCCCTGCTTGGCGCCCTGCAGAGCAGGGTTCGTAGAAACTTAGAGCTGGAAGGGGGTACCCCAAAGGTCATCTAGTCCAACCCCAAAGGTCATCTAGTCCAACCCCCCTGCACAAGGCAGGGGATTCGCAGATACCTCCCCCCCACTGACACACACGGTGACACCCCCCCCCCTGCTATGTGCCCAAGGCAAAAAAAACCTCCAGGATCTCTGGCCTGAAGGGAAGTTCCTTCCTGACCCCAAAGTGGCAATCGGCATTTCCCTGGGTGTGCAAGAAGGGCCACAAGAACTAAGCGCCGATGCAACCCTTCCTTCCTTCCATCTCACGATCTGCCTGAGTTCACAGAACCAGCATTGCTGTCCGATGGCCATCTGGCCTCCTCTTAAACATCTCCAAAGAAGGAGAGCCCACCACCTCCCAAGGAAGCCTGTCCCACTGAGGAACTGCTCTGACTGCGAGCTCCGGGTTGGAAAACACCTGGAGGTTTGGGGGGCTGTGTGTGAAGCCTCAGGAAGGAGGTGTTTGGGGCATACTGCCGTGGAGCCCAATTTCCAAAGCCGCTGTTTTCTCTAGGTGAACTGATCTCTGTTGCCTGGGGATCATTGCGGGAGAGCTCCAGCGACCACCTGGAGGTTGGCATCCCTACTGCAGAGCCAGGGATGGGTCTTAATTCGATTTGTACATTGTCGGCCTTTCTGATATTTGAGATGCATTTGTGTGCTGTGAGTCAACGGGATGAGAAACCTAATAAGCGATGGAGCGCCTTAAATGTCATTGAGATGTATTGCATGTGAGCTTCCAAAAGCCGGTCCTCCCTTCATTAGATACCTAGATAAAGGACTTGATGGAGGCAGGTTTGATGCCGGAAAGCTTATGCCCTGGAAATCTTGTTGGTCTATAAGGTGCTGCTGGATTCGAAACCAGCTCTTCCACTGCAGACCAACACAGCTACCCTTTGAAACTAATAAGCAATGTAATAGGACTGGTATAGTCCTACGTTTAATTCTAGGGCCGAGGCTCAGGGGGAGACCATCCACTTTGCATGCAGATGGGCCATGCTTCAGTACCTGGCATCTCTGGTTAAGAGAAGAAGAGTTTGGATTTATACCCCACCCTTCACTACCCAAAGGAGTCTCAGAGCGGCTTCCGATCCCCTTCCCCTCCCCACAACAGACACCCTGTGAGGGGGGTGGGGCTGAGAGAGCTCTCTCTCTTGAGAACTGCTCCTGAGACGACAGCTCTGAGAGAACTTGCAGCTGACCCAAGGTCACACCAGCAGCTGCATGCGAAGGCGTGGGGAATCAAACCCAGTTCTCCCAGATTAGAGTCCATGCTGCTAACCACTACACCAAAGGATGCAGTCATAAGTCATGGGGAAAGACCCGTACCTGAAAATATGAAAAGCTGCTGCTAGTATTGCTGTCAGAACCATGTGCTTGTCTGCATCTCTTTTACCTATGGGCCTGTCAGAGGGAACTAGCTGTCACACCAAGCAGCTGTCTGTGCTTCTGCATTCAAATAAGTTGCAATGTGAACCCTAATGGTTGTGTGAGTGTATATGAGTATGGTTGTGTGAGTGTATATGAGTATGCTTGTAGATCACCGAATGATTGCACCTTAATTTCGTTGTACTATGTACAATGACAATAAAGTATATTATTATTATATGTGTGCGCTTTCCTTCCACTGCATTGCATTATTGGAGAACTAGTGGCCAAAGGCTCCGCTTCTCTGAGCCGATTTCTTAACAGTGTCCGGCTGAAACTTTCTTGCTGTGCGGAAAGGACAGTCAAGGTTTGTTTCAGGTGGGCGACCATGTTGGTCTGAAGCTGGGGTAAGTTATGCACCGTATTCTTGGTGCTTGGGGGGGGGGGCAACAGTGGGAGGGCTTCTAGTGTCCTGGACCTCCTGAGGGCACCTGCTACTTTTGGCCACTCTGCGACACAGTGTTGGACTGGATGGGCCATTGGCGTGATCCAACATTGGCTTCTCTTATGTTCTGAAGCAGCAGAACACAGTTTAAGTCCAGTGGCACTTTTAAGACCAACAAAGTTTTACTCAAGGTGCAGCCGTGTTGGTCTGGAGTACTAGTCACCAGTGTTCCCTCTAAGCTGAGTCAGTGTGAGCTAACTCACAGTTTTTTAGCCTCTGGCTCACACAGTTCTGTCTTCGCTCAGGAAGGGAGAGCTCCAGAGCAAAACTAATTTATGCAGTAGCCAAATCGCTCGCTCGCAACTTTAATGCCCAGAGCTCACAAAGTAGAATTTTTGCTCACAGGACTCCATAGCTTAGAGGGAGCCTTGCTCGTAACCTCAGCTTGCTATTTAGTTTTGTTTTGCATATCTTAAAAACATCTTCGTCATGTTACAGGTTAATTCGTTGTTCAGCCTCTGTCTATAAGTTTGAACCTGACCTTTCTTCCAATGTATCTGAAGAAGTGTGCGTGCACACGAACGCTCACACCTTGAATAAAACTTTACTGGTCTTAAAGGTGCCACTGGACTCTAAATCCAGTGGCACCTTTAAGACCAACAAAGTTTTATTGAAGGTCTGAGTGTTTCGTGTGCGTGTGCACTTCCTCGGACACTTTGCATGGTTTGTGTCAGTGTCAAAAGGTAATCCTGTTGATATTCCAGCCCAGCAGCCCCTTGGAGACAAACTAGATTTTCAGGTTATGGCCCTTTGAGAGCCAAAACCCCCTTCATTGGTGGTAGCGCCAAAAAGATGCTAAATGCCTGTTAAGATACATCAGGTTGCATTTGGTGATGTTGTCTCCCATGTGACTGCTTGGTATCGTCTTAGACTGAGTCTAAAGCCGTGTTGGTCAAGAAATATTTTCTTATTTACATTTTTCTATCGTCTGCCTTCCCCACTGGGATGCAGGGCGGATCGCACAGAGTGAGTCAAAGCCGCCGACAGGATGGGCTATTCAGTAAACAGTGCAATAGGGTTAGGCTTGTAGAACGAGTCAGGAGTCTAAAAGCAGAACTGAAGCCAAGCATGAGTATTAATACGATACATTAAACGATGCAAAAATCACATCGTGGGATCATAACGACATAAGAGAAGCTAAAGATGGATCAGGCCAATGGCCCATCCAGTCCAACACTCTGTCACACAGTGGCAAAAAGTACTAGGTGCCATCAGGAGGTCCAGCAGTGGGGCCAGGACACTAGAAGCCCTCCCACTGTCCCCCCGCACCAAGAATACTTGAGTTCCTATCTGTACCTTGTGGCTAATAGCCACTGATGGACCTCTGCTCCATAGCTTTATCCAATTCCCTCTTGAAGCCGTCCATGCTTGTAGCCGGCACCACGTCCTGTGGCAGTGAATTCCATGTGCTGATCACTCTTTGGGTGAAGAAGGACGTCCTTCATGGAGTGCCCGCGGGTTCTTGTATTGTGAGAAAGGGAGAAAAGGACTTCTTTCC